TGGATGGATGGATGGATGGATGGATGGATGGATGGATGGATGGATGGAGATACAATGAGATGTACCTGACACATCACTTATTTTTCTTCCTTTTTATACATTGCATCATTTCTGGATATCTTTCCCAGTTGTCTGAGTGTCTACTTTGATATATTCTGCTCCTCAGAAACTCTGCTCCTCTTTCCCTGCACAGTGGTAATGGTATACCTACTTTAACAGCACACTGCTTGCAGAACACAGCAGCGCAGCAGCTCTTGAACACTACACTCCTCTCTTACCCTTCACTTCAGTGATACCATCATATTCTACTGCTGCCTGTGTTAAAAATGAACCAGTTGTGAAGACCTTAGCATATTAATGCAGTAAGAACATTCTTTCCCTTCCCTGAGATTTAATCTCGGCTAAAATTAAAGAGCAATGGTAATAAAAAAAGCTACTTTAGCCAGCACTGGATATACAGGGAAAAGCATAAGGACAGGAGAAACACACAGTAATACTTCTTCACAATACCTTTGCAACCTCTAGGTGTGGGAATTCTTAAGCCTGAGAGGCCATCGAGTATTTAGCAGACTTCAATAGATTTTTTTTTTCTCTCTGAACTTTGCAGTAATTTTTAAATAGCTTATTTCTAAATAAATTTCTTACTGGCTCTTCAGCTTGTTAAGAATTGTGTGACCTGTGCGACCTGCTGCAGGGAACCTGCTTTGGCAGGGGGGTTGGACACGATGATCTCTGGAGGTCCCTTCCAACCCCTACAATTCTGTGATTCTGTGAATTTTCAGAAATCACATCCCAGAAGAAACAATTATAGAAATACCTTATTAGATCTAGTTTTCTTTATTCCCCGATGAATTAATAAAGATTAAACCCGACACACTCGTATGACACAGAACACGAGGCTCAGTGCTCATGATAATCTCCCCCCCCTCACGCTGCTCATGAGGGAAACCTCCGGACACCCCTCTATAACAATAAAATTAGAATGCTTCTGGGAATCTTTGGCAGAAATACAAGTGGCAACACTCTGATCTGTGAGACCTGACTATAGGATGTTCATAGGTTTAGAACCGTAGTAAAATACAGTTTTTAATGAAAAAGACTGTGATTTCACTTGTAGAAATTCAACATACAAAAAACCCACGTGCCAAAAAGTCATGACCAAAATATGGCAGATACATAAAATAATAATTCATTTTCTGCAAATTGATCTGTAATTGGGACGAGTAATCTAAAGCCTATTGGAGTACCTATCTAATAATTTAATTACTTATCTAATTTCAATCTGATTACAATTAGGAAACTGACTGTCAAGGGAAGCTGAGAGGATTCTTCTCTATGGAACACTTAGATAAACAGCTTAAGACAGACAAGAAAAGACGGCATAACTAAAGTATATCTGGGTGAAAGGAATGGATGAGCAAATCTTCCAGGTTCCCTTCCACACTCCTGTTTCTATAACCCTACGATCACTAGGTCAGTATTATTCAGATTTGTCTCAGAAGTAACAGACATCTCCATGGCTTCGATTTCAGAAAACACATTCTACATGTTACAAAGCTGCAACTTAAAAAAATAATGGACCAACCCCCCCACCCCCCCAAGAAATATTACCATTATCAGCTTGGAGTGGATTATAATGACGTACAAGAAAGCTTAGTGTCTTTCTATTTACCACTAATACATTCAAGGAAAATGCTTTATAGATAAAATAGAATATAGTTTCATCACAAAAAATGTCAATTAATTAGGAAAATGTCAGTTCTGTTTTCAGTCAGATACATCCAAAAATCCAGTTGCTACTAAGAAGTCAGGAAATTCTAAATGTAACTCTACCTTCAGCAGTTTAACTGAAATTATAGTTATTAAGATTTTATATAAGCCTTTTTTTTAATAGAAGCTCTTCATTCTTTTTAAATCAGGTGTTTGAATAAGATAAACAGATTCAGAGATTTGGCAGAAGAAATAAAGCCATAGAAGCCTGTCCTCATTTCCTTGGTAGTAAGAGGAGTGTGTTGAACTAACAACTCTTACATATTGTGGCTAAAAAGATCATTTGTATGGGTAGCTAGGAATAACTTAGGCAAAGTTATCCTACGGAAAACATCAGCAAAGCCAGTCCAGAATAAAACTGTCTTGCAGCTGAAAATTTTCATGAGCACTAATGCTGGGGAAAATTAAAGAAAAAAAAAAAAAAGGTAATTTGTTTTATTTAATTACAGTGTTGTTCCTGACTGCCTTGGCAGCAGAAGTAGCCACACGTGCATTGTGATTGCCCAATTCTCCTCAACTCTGCTCCCACAGGTGTGGTTACTCTGACAAAACCTGCTAGATGGTATCTTTACAACCATCATTGCAAACACCACCACAGACCTACCAAAACACAGTGCCAAAATTCCTACACACCCGCATCCCATAATATGATGACTACCTCCTGAAGGACAAACACCCTCACGAAAACTGGGGACATGAGTGGAATAACCAGACTCTTCCTGACTTCTGGCAATGTAGCACCTGTTCCTTTCATGGCTTATGAATTGGCACCTGGTCACCATAGGCAATTGCCTTCTGTTTAAGAAGCTCCAGGTTGACCATGAAGACAGATAAAATGTCCAGATAAAATTGTTTCAAGGCATGCTGGCCTGCTACCTAACAACACCTGTGACAGAACAACTTCAGGCACTCAAGCTAAATCTGCACTGCTCTCAAAGGAGCAAACATGCGCCTCCCCTCATGACCAGGGGTGATGAGACTAAGTAGGTTCTGACCATTCAAGAAAGCACTCAGCATGGTGAAGGAAATAAGCATGGAAGAAGTCAACAAGACAGATTCCTGGTTGCACTGTATGATAGGAGCACTTTTTGTCCACTGCTCTATATGCAGTAAGTGGTGGCCAGTTTGCCACTGCTACAATGACAAGAGTCTTGTGTGGCCTGGTCTTTATGTACAGAGGTGAGGGATAATGGGCCAGAAGCAGGATGGTTGCCAAAGACCAACCCAAACCACTAAAACTGATCCAAAGCACTCCCAAGCTAGGAATTCCAAGGACTAGTGGGCAGATTTCCAGCTTAACAACAAAGGGTGCTATGAATTTTTGATCAACTAATGAAAATATAGGCTGCACAAATGTAGGAAAAGCTCAAATTTCTAAGAGTGAGTGTTAGTCAGCATGCTATTATGGATAAAACTGAGCATGCATAGGCATCAAAGCATAATGTCCGTAAGGAAAAGTATCTTTCCATATCAGCCAGGTCTTTAAGGAAAGAAAACCAAAGCAGCAACTCCAAATGCATGCATGATGTATGGCTTCCAGAAATGGCATACTGTTGCTACCAGTGGAGGAAGGCTGGTATGCCAATGCTCTTGCTCTGCCTCCCTCCCTGTAGGACTCACTTGCAGGGTACAAGGGCAGATACTCTGGCTTGTGCCTCTGCTGGGTCAGCGGTATCAAGTGTTTAGGAGAAGCTCAGTGCTGCCCTTGCAGCAGATCATTTTGGCAAAGCAGAGGGCATATTTCATCAGCTTTCACATTTCCTGTACCCTATAAATGCAACTACTGCATGCCTGCACTCTGCTCATTTGTTGTCACTGCAAGTAAATAATGCTGCGTGCTTTGCCAAGTATTGATCTGGTAATACTGAATCAAGGTAGACTCATTTCACATTTACCCCAGACACGATATAAACTGCTCAAAACAGTAATAAAGTTCTTCATGCTTTGGATACTTTGAATTCATCCGAATTGACTGAAATTGTAACAAAAAATATTTATGGTCTAGTAAAAATAAGATTTTAACAGCCAATTTTATCAACTAGCAGATTCAGTCACTAGAATAAATTTTATTTTAAAAATGGCTTATTTTTATATGAAGACAGGATGAGAAAAGAAGCTCCCTCTTCCAGTCTCTAAAACAAGTCAGGAGAAAAGAAGCAGGTCTGAAGCACTGCCCTCCTTAAGGGTCTGAGGACATGGTCCTGCTTCACCACACACCCTGAGTTACCAGGTCAAAACAGACAAGAAAGGAAAGTGAACCACACATGCAATGCTGTTTGTAAGTGTCACATCAGCAGCCCCCCCACTTTCAAGCTAAGGAGGCTCCATTTCACACATCCTCACCGATCTCAAGCAATGCCAAGCAGCCCTCTGTCTACTTGTAATTCCACAAAGGACAACAGTTACTAATTGTAGGATGACTTCTAAAACAGAAGAAGCAGAGCTATGATATGCAGCAGTATGGCAGAGCAAAGACAAAGCATCAAACGGAGAGCAAAAAGCTTGAATTTTATTGCCAGTGGGTATTTCAGTGTAAGGTATGTTGTTAGGAAAAGAGGTATATCTGCTTCTTCTCTGCCTGTTCTTGACTATCAGACAGAGGATGTTCTATTTGTGTACTCTAGTCTATAGTACATTCATTCCAAATCCAATTTTCTGTTTTAAAGCCAAAAAATCAGATTTTTTCATTCATCTCCTTCAAAATATTAACTTGTGCAGGCCAGGCCAAGTAATCAGCAATAAAAGCAGTGCCTTCAATGCTGTGGCCCTGTTAATTTCAGATGCATTAGCATACTCGTGTGAATTTTTACTATACACTTCAGTGCTTGTAGCTGTGTAATAACATGCAATTATATGTGTTTCTTAAACCAACTAAGATAAAAACATATATTACAACTTTGAAGAAGGGGTTTTGCCACTTATTTTGTTTTCCACATTTTGTTACAATAATTATCCAATGTTTGTACATATATAAATTACATTAAGGATAAAAAGATATTAACAACTCACCGTTCTGGCGAGATTTACTCGTCCTTTTAAAACTGTAGATGTATTGGATCTGTTCGTTCCATGATTTCTGAGCATGATCTCGTGGCTACAGAGATAATAAAACAATTATAGAGTTGGGACCAGTGGAAAGGATTGAGACCTGTTTCTGATCTATCAATCAAAGGTTTCAAGCACTCTAGGCAAATGTAGAACAGCACTTTTCAACAAGTTATATATAAATTCATTCTGTGTGAAAGGATCCTGAATCCTGAAAACATAACGCTCAAATAAACCTGAATTCCACTGAGTGCAAAAGTCCATTCTATTCAACATAAAGAACAAAATACATCCAAAAATATTATAAAAGACCTGAAGATATCTAACTCCACTGAGGAAAGTAATGTATTTCAAAACACACTACTTATTTTAAATGATGAAAGCGCAGTATTTCACACCTTTCATCCTTGTTTTACTTCATAGCTGAGATATAAAAAGCCCTAAACTGACCCTAGGGGGTGGTTCACTACTTAGGAGGTAGGAACCTGTATCAGTACCTGTTTGCTGATACACTAAGACTTGGAGCTGTTGGAGCTGGCCGAGAGGAGGGCCACAGAGATGATCAGAAGGCTGGAGCACCTCTCTTTATGATAGGCTGAGATGGTCTTGTTCAGCCCCCAAAAAATGAAGGCTCCTGGGAGACCTTATTGTGGCCTTCCAGTACTTCAAGGAGCTTATAAATAAGAGAGAAACCAACTTTTTACACAGTAAAGTCACAGGACAATGGGGGAATGGCTCAAAGCTATTTGAGGGGAGATTTAGGCTGGATGTTATGTAGAAGTTGTTTACTCAGAGGGCAGAGAGCTGATGGCACAGCTGCCCTGAGAAGCTGTGGCTGCTGAAGCACTGGAGGGCAGGTTGGATGGCACCCTGGGCAGCCTGAGCTGGTGAGGGGCAGCCCTGCCCATGGCAGGGTGCTGGGTGGGTGGGCTTTTGAGATCCCTTCGAACCCAAACCATTCTATGACTCTATGATTCTACAATTTACCTTTTTAGATCTTGCCACAGGCAAAATTATACGTCTGAGGCGTTATTTCTAGTAGGCTAACTCGATTTACCCCCACTTTGCATTACTCGTGTGATTTAGTTGTAAACGAGCCAAACGAGCCCTCTTTCAAAAGCACGTACTGCAACAATTCATCCCGGTCTTCCCCAGTCTACCATTTCCCGATGTCCTCCAGCACTGCGTTACCGCCCTGACCGGCACCTTCAGCCCGCTCCAGCTGCCGGCTATGGCAGAGGTACACGCAGCCTGATCCACCTCCACCTCTCCCTGGGCGCTCCGGAGCGTTTGCCACGTTTCCTCTCGCTCCTCAGCCCTGCTTTGCTCCTTCCGCCGCTGGACGGCGGGGGGCCTATACTCGAGGATTTATGGTACAGCAAAGGCAGGGGGAGGCACGAGGAGCCGCGTCACTCTCCCTCTACATAAAGGACCGACAGCACAAGGGAGTCGGCGCAGGGCCGCTAAAGGGTTGCGTGTATGTTTGTCCCGTCCCAAACACCAACAAAAAGCGAGCGGCCCGCTAAGGGTGGGCGGTACACGGCACCGCCAAATAGCACAGCTCTGGTAGCAGCTTAGGTCAGCGGCGGGGCAGCTCCAGGAAGCGCTAGCAGCGAGAACGGGCCGCCCTGCGCGTGGCGGGGACGGGACGTTTCGGGGTGTGGGTCCCTCAGCCGCCAGCCGCACCGGGCGGAGGTGCGCCGTACGGAAGGTCGGGCCGGACGCCAGCGCCGCGCTCGCTCACTTCCCTCTGCGCGCCCGCGTGCCCCCGCCCTCTAGGTGCGAGCACGCGCGCGCGCCCCCTGCTCCGTGACCCATTTCACCGAACAAAGGATTTTGCTGGAATCTCAGCGCTAGACCTAAAATGGCGCCGGCGCTCTCGCCCGCCCCCGCTCCCTGCGCGGGCACCATAGAGACGCGGCGGCTAGAGCGGCCGCTCTTCGTGCCTGCTCTACACGGCCCCAGCCCGCTCTCGGTGGTGCGCGGCCGGCGCGGCGCTGTCGCAGCATGGCGGGCGAGGGCGACTCTGAGCCGGAGAAGGTAATGGAAAGCGGCGGGTGTTCCTCGCCTCGCTCTGCTCCGCTGCCGGCTCTCGGCTGAGGCGTGCCCCGGGTTTGAGTGCTGAGGAAGCGGTTGCTGAGCGGGACGTGGAGAGCGGTCACTGCGCCGTGATCAGAGCGGGGATCAGGGCAGAGGGGAGGCTGAATGGAACCGGGTTAGGAAGGACTGCGTAGTTTTGGGGGATTGTTTTGTTGTTGTTGGTTGGTTGGGGTTTTTTTTTTTTTTTTTTTTTTTTTTTTTTTTTTTTTTTTTGGTTATCTGTTTTTTTTTTGCCTGCTCTTCTGTCGAGCCTTCTCCTTTTGGGGAAGCTGCCATGCCGCTCGAGCTTTGTGTCCCCAGCAGTTAGCAGTGGCTGGAGCCGCAGCGGATGATTTCAGTAGGGCAACAGGTGAAGGACTATTTTAAAAGGGTGCCTCATGCAGCACAGATGTAGCACCGTACCTTCCTAGCCAACAACAGAAGTGTATCGGATGACCTCTTCCATAAGGGAGTGCTTGAAATTATTCATTAGCAGATTAGACCGATATAGACCAAATCCTTTCTGTCTCACTTATACGCAGGGATTACGTTGAGCGGCAGGGTGGTTGTCCACAGAGGGCACAGGCACAGTTACTGGTGGGGATTCCCTTACCCGCTCGCAAATCCAGCTGCTGGCACATGCTTGTATCCCTGTTAGCACAGCCATGCTGTGTCACACTGATGCTGACCTCCTTCCAGAGCTGCCGGCCTTTCCCATGAGGCTTTCTACAGCGTTCCATCTTCAAAATCTAACAGATGAATGAGAAAAAAGCAGATTTATTCTAGTTAATAGAATCATAGAATGGTTTGGGTTGAAAGGGATCCTTGAGATGATCTAGTTCCAACCCCCTTGCTATAAGTTGCACCAGACCAGGTTGCTCAGAGCCCCATCCAGCCTGCCCTTGCATGCTTCCAGGGAGGGAACATCTGCATCCTCTTTGGGCAACCTGTTCACGTACCTTAGTTCTGACCGTGTTGCTTGGAGGCCTGTATAGAGGTAGTTTCCCATTCCAGGTTTTGTGCGCATGTGAGGATGTCTATTGGGTGAGAGATACAAGTGGTATTCAAATTAGGAGACTTAGAATGTGCTGGAGCCAATGTAGGCATCTGTGAAATTACAAATGGATTTGTCAGTTCACAGTTGTGTTTATGAATGCCACATGTAATTGCCATTTGAAGGTTAAATAGAAAATTGGCGTATAAAAGCCAGTGTAGGTTATAATTGGAAAGAGCGTATGGCTTAATTTGAGTAATTTTTATCAGTAGGTTCATTTAAGAACCTATGCGTGGTATACAGAGGAATTTACCTGAACAGCCTGTGCCTATACATAGGATTAGGATAAGAATGGTGCTTTTATTCAGATAAGATTCTCTGGTATCTACATCTTTTCCGGTAATTTCTTTCAGTTTTTTTTTTTTTAACGTAATTTTAAACACATTTACTTTTTCACTTATTAAAATGACACAGCATAACCTTACCTAGTTGGTTGTGACCTTACCTGTCTGTCCTGATGTAAGTTGGTTTTGGACAGAACTGGCTTCCTATGGGTTTTCTCCCTTCCCTTTCTAAGGGAGGGAATATAAAGGAAGAAATGAAGTAGTTCTTTTATAATCTTCAATAGGAATGATAGATCACCAGGCTTATACAAAATGATGTACAAAATGAACAAATGATAAATCAATTGCTGACTCTTTCCTAACAATTCTTGATGGAGCTGTGCATGTTCACCTTTTGCTCAAATATAAATTGTTTTTGTTCAAATATAAATAGATCCTTGGAAGCAAGGAATCCTCCAGTGTTTATTGTTGACTGCTCAGTCAGTTTTAGTCTGAAACTGGCATGGTAGAAGTTTACCAAAGTCATTTTTTCATTGAAATATTAATTTGTGCTTTTTTTTTTTTTTTTTTCCTCCTTATAGTCCTTCAAGCTCCTAGGATTTCTTGATGTTAAAAATGTGCCATGTGCACGAGAATCAGTGCTGTATGGCTCTCTGGGATCTTTAGTTGTGGGTCTTGGACACTTTTTAGCAACTAGTAAGTACACCTTCTGTATCTTCTCATGTGTTGATTCTTAAAGATAAATTCATTCATTTTTTTCTGTTAGACTTTATGAATAATGGGAAGTCACCCAAGCTATTTCTCTAATTTTTTTAGCATTTTTGTCTTTGTTTCAGGTAGAGTAAGAAGATCGTGTGACTTTGCAGTCGGTGGCTTTATTTGCACAATGTTAGGATACTGGTATGTAAAATGCTCCTTGAATTTTGGCAGACCTTTGGCTGCTTTGTACAGTGCAATCCTTCTGTGACCTTACCCACTGCTTTTGAAACACAAAAAATAACCTACCTAGCAAAGTATCCTCTTTTTTCTTTCCCAGACTTTTTTTTTTTTTAAGGGAAAAAAAGTCCATGTCTTTGAATTCTTATTTCTGTATCAGAAGGAAAACAAACAGAAAACAACTGGTTTTTCTTCTGCCCTGGGAAGGCAGCATACTAAAAGTTCGTGAGGTTAAGGTCCAAATTGTAAAACTGAGAATTTTCCATTGGAATTGTATGTTGTATGTTCTCCTTCTCAGTGGCTGAGTAATGTTTGCCTTAAAGAAATATCAGGTACCTTGGTATTTTCTTTAAGAGTTATTTTATGATGATGTCTGCCAATGTTGTGTATGGTTTCAACTTTTCAGCTGGCTGAATAACACTGATTTGATACTGTCATACACATTAAAAAGGAGTGAATCCCATTTTCTGTTTGTCTCTCTTTCTAGGTTTTACTGCAGGTACAATTTAGCTCAACAGAGGATTCGGCAAAGAATGCTTAAGGAAGGAATGAGAAACAAAATGTTATTTGAAGGCAGTTCTTTTGATCCAGAAAAAAAACAAACTGGTAATGAAAGAAGCAATTCGTAGTCGTACTATAGGGGAGTCTGTATATGTGGTGTAATACAGCATTGAGAAAAGGTGGTCCAAAAATGGCAGTGTGCCCTGTAAGTATGTCAGATAACTGAAACTAATAAATCATGCTGGTTTTCCTAGAAGATTTAAGTAAGAAATCCAGAGTGAATCTGTTAAATCTGTATATAAGCCTTTCTTTGTTTCATGTATGTACATATGTGACTATGTTCACAGTTAGCAATGACCTCCTTGTTTTTGACTTGTTAAACATTTGGCAATTGACGCTGTGTTGCACAGTCTCAGAGAATTAATGACAACATTTGGGGGCTGCTTTAACTTACAAACAAAGCAAAGTTGTAATTTCATCTCATTTAAATGCAAGGTATTTTCATCAGCTGTTCTGAGTAAATGCATCTTGTAGTGCTGCTGCTAAGTGTAGCACTTGGAAAATGGGAATATTTAAACGGTAGGTGAGTGCTTTGCTTGTGCAAAGTGGAAGTTATCAGTAGCTTCTGTAACTTCAAAAAACTTATAGAGGCTATGAAGCTGAGTTTCCATCTTTGTTCCATCTGTGCAAAATTAAGAATAAAAACACTTCAGGAGGAATTTCACCTATTTATGTAACATTTTTTAATTTCACTGAAGAAGATTTTTAAGACATTTCGGTACAGTTGGTAGAGCAACAATTGATGTGATTTATAAGTGGTGATGGTTCATCTGAAAAGGCACATCATTAGTGTATGTCACTATAAATCTTCAGTTAAAAGAAATATAGACATATACTTTCATAGAAAGTATCTTATTTGTCTTATTTGAAAATAGTGTTGGCTCTAATTGTGTACTGACAAGAATATGAATGGTGGTGTAGTATGTATGCCTTTGTTTGCATGCTTCCGCCTATATAGTGAAGAGTGTATTTAGGGTTTCCACAAACTGGCTTATAGTATATTATGTTATAAGCATTTCTGGTCTGAAGGCATTAAATGAGCAAAAACAGTCCTTTCTCTCTACCCTGGGCTTAGTTTGAGAGAGTTTGTGACTCAGGTTGGTGGGAGTGGGGATGTCCAGCTGTAAGCAGCAGCATGGCTCTATTTAAATTTGGAAGTATACATCAAAGCACTAAACCAACATGCTGCTAATACAGAGATAGTTCAACTTTTACACTTTATGGATTTGCCTCGTACAAGAAGAAAACAAATCTGCATTCTTTATTTGTACCCTGTTCCTCTTGTTTCTTCTGGAGGAAGTGAAAGAATGAAGATAAGTTTTATGGAGAACTTTCAGTTCAGAAATTGATATTAAAAAAAACCCCAGAGACCTGGAGTTATGACAACAAAACATTACCTTCACCAGAGAATTCAACCTTGGAATTTGACTCACATTTAGCTCTAATTCACAGGACAAAAATGTTACTCCTAATTTTGTGCTGCGAGGAGAAAGGTGCTCCTTCTCTTTGGATCGGGTAGGAATTGTTGCCTCAAAGCCCCTGGAGTGACTATAGGAAACTGAGCGAGTACTTAGTGCACACTCCTATTTTAATACATGGTTGAGTTCTTTCCTATCTGACGTAAGAAAAGGAACTGCAACCTAAGCAGGGATCTTCTTGCTGTGAGGTCACAATTCAGCTGGGGAGGTCAGAAGACAAAAATGTCTGGATTAAAATTTAATCTTCGGCAAAAATCAGTTGTTGAGAAAGAAGAGAATGCGGTTTTGTGCTGACAGGAAAGAAGGTAGCATGCATGTAAGGGCATCTTTTAAAATGATTGAGTACTGTGACCACGATGAGGAGCAAACAGCAGGATTAGATTATCTCCAGTATTATTTGGCTCTTGTTTTGTGCTACTGTAGTTACAACTACTACCTCTGGCTGCTTAACTGCAGTATTAGTAATTCTGGCCAATAACTGTTGATTCTACATAGATTTATCTGCATTGCTTAGATCACCAGTCTAATGCTACTTCACTGTACAAAATATAAAATGAGTGTGTTTCACACAAATGTTAGCAGAAAAAGTGGAATAAGTGGTAATATGCAACAGTCTGGCCAACATGTTTGAGTTTCATTATTTAAAGCTGGGGTAAAATGGAGCTCATAAAAAGTTGGAGCCTTTGCTGAATGGAGATGGGGGGGGTAGAAAAGGAAGCTGAGAAGGATTTAGCTGATGTGAAAGGGAGGGGTCTGCAATAGCAGGGAAGGAATGCACTGAGAGTTAACCGTGCACAAAGTCTCCCAACTTCAAGGCAATCTAAAGTGCCACCAAAGTACATAAATGGGCCTGTGGCATTTTCAGTTCCTGCATGCCTTACTCATTGTGCTGCTTGTGCTACTGACACTCTTGGTGTTCACCAGCCCTCTTCCAGCAGGATTGCATTCAGAGCTCCTGGCAGCGACAGAAGCACACCACACAAGGGTTGTGTGTGTACCCTCCAAGCCTTCCAGGAAGGAGTCAAGGCAGCAGGCAGAAATATGGCAATCTAAGTAAGGTGAATTGCCAGCTCTGTAACAGAGTTGTGCGTGATCAGATTGCCTCTACTCTCCAGCACCCTTCTCTATAACAGAGGTAGTGCTTTAGCCACCAAAAATTGTGAAAGACTCAAAAGCCAAGAATTAAGATGTTTTAGTTGACAACAGAGGCAATTACAACTGTCATCCCAAAGTTGTCAATTACAGCTTTACCCAAGCAGACTTTTAGGAGATGATGGCTTTGATTTCTCCATTCACTTTGCAGATTTCCAGGCTGTTTTGTTTGTTACCACCCAACCCAAGACCTAGAGTGCTGTGAAGGAAAGGTCACTTGGTGTCATTAATAAATGACTCTGGCTTTTGGTAGGATGACTTTTTCAAGGGGATAACAATGAAGCGTTAGTGAGCTCCCAAGTGAATTACCCCAGCTCAGTACGTTAATTCCCATGCTTCTCTCATACCTGTATTCTGTAGCTTATGTCAGGAGCTCAGTGATTACTAATGAAAGTTTGAAGCAGATACAGTAAAATCACCTTGGAAAACTGATCAAAACAAAGTTTTACAGTTCAGAAGATGAAAATGATGAGCTTCTGATCTTTTTTTTTTTTAATCTGAACAAAGAACTAGTAAGTTAGAAATGGAGCTGAGTTTAGTTAATACAACTCAGGGCCTTGGAATATACATCATTCTTAAACTGAAAACATTACGCTAAGCTTAAACCTTCAATCTGGGGCAGGTAGATAAAGAGCCTTGGATGAGATGATCCTGCAAGTAAATTGCAGACTGATGGCTAGCAAAACCCTGGCTAAGACTGTTCTTAGCAATGATTTCCAATGATCAGTTCCTCAGAAAGGGAGATAATCTGCCCAGGCACCCTAAAGAAATCTGCAACTACTGATGATTACTGCTTTTCTTATGGCATGTTCATCCAACACTTAAAGCTGTTGAGGGTCACCCTGCAGCAGTGTTGGGAGACTGTGACAGAACTTGTTTTACTTGGTTTCTTAGTGCTGATATTGACTAACAGAGTGTTCTTTGGTAATCTTCTAGTCAGACTCACCAAGAGCTCAGCCGTTTCTTTCTAAACTTCAGAATGTGCCTTTGAACCACTACCATAGAGGGCTTCATACCCCTGCTGACATGCACAACGGTCCTCTTAACCCAAAAACCCATTCACTATTTCTAGTCATCATTTTCTACGTCACCATCCTCCCATTGGGAACACCATGCTTCCTCTAGCATGCCTCTGGCACCTGTGCAAGCATTCTTGAGACCTCCATCTAACATTGTCGATGATGCAGTGAGTCTTCTTCTTCAGGGTCCACCTGATACAAGGAAAAAGGAATCCTCACATTCTCTATGTGGCAGACACCATGCTCTTAATATCCTAATCAAGACTGAGCATTTCGATGTGTTTGCTTCTCTGTAGCTGTGTCCATAAGCACACTTGAGTCCATGCCTCCAGTCCCTGAGAACTGCAAGGCTATGGCATGCAACAAATGACAGATTTTTATTGCGTTGCATGCTCTTGGTGTGGTGGCAAAACTGATAGAATGCAGGAGAGTTCCATTACCAGTACATCAGCAATGTCTTCCATCTAACAGGCATTGCCAGTGGGGTCCATAGTAGCTGGAACTCAGAAGACACAGCCGCTGTTTGAGGGGAGACCATTTGCACCCTTCCCCCACCAGCCTTTCAGTTGCTTTCAGTTGTGTGATTTTCACGTTTTGTTTTGGAACAAGATAGTGATGCTTGTATTCAATGTCACGTAGTGTACTTTCCAAGGCAGTAACTAGATATAAAAGCAAGCTAATTCCTGAAAACTTTTCATTTGCTTCAATAGTCTGCTGAAAGAAACTCTTGGAATCTATCATTTCCCTTTCATGGCCGTTTCTTTAAAAAAAAATAGAAAAGCAGTGGCAGGCTGCCAAGCCATGGAGCCACATAAATATCCCAGGGCTGAGCCAAGCTGCTGCTGAAGCAATAGTAGCAGCCCCTGCCTGAGGAATGTCCGGGAGCTGCCAGAGACTTTGCAGTCTGTCCGCCTCCTGTTCCTACCACATGGCCTCCACGCCTGGCTCCACCACTAGCAGGTCACAGGTTTTCCTCAGTCCCTCAGCGTCCAGCAGACCTGAGTGCCAGGTTACTGTCACCCGCTTCACATCACTGCTTTGGAGAAAGTGGCTGCTGTGGCAGCCAGGTATCACAGTGAGCCATTCGGCTCTCGCACTGAAATCCCGCCTTGTGATCCTCTGAGATCCTCCCCTTCCCTGTGAACAGGCGATTTCCTGCAAAGACTGTGCCTGAAAGAATGCCTTCTGGAGCCCAAATGCATTTTGTAACATTTAACTGTTACAGTCTTTGATATGTAAGTACCAAAATAGTTTTTATTGCTCTATCGTAGCCTCTTCCTCTGAGGACTCCCAGAGCAAGGAAAATACACAAGACATTTAACTCGCACAAGTTTTGTCTAATATTTATTTCTTAGATCCTCGACTTACTATTTAATGACTTAATGAATACAAATTACTGTTAATATTATTATTATTACAGGAAAGCTGCTTATACGAGAGTGTACAACAGAGGTTGCTGTGTACAGCAGCCCTGCTGTATGGATAGTGCTTAACCTGGATACCAAGTTGGATATGGGCAAACAGTGTTCTTGTTGCAAACAGGGCAGATCACAGGCTGGGTTATGTCAGGAAGCAGGTGGCCAACAAATCAAGGAGCTGCATCAAAAGAGGGGGGGGCCAGCAAGGGTGAGAGATCAATGTCCTCATCTACTCTGCCCTTGCAAGGCCCCATCTGGAGTACTGCATCCAGGTCTGAGGCCCCAGCAGAAGAAAGATAGAGCTGTTAGAGCAGATCCAGAGGTTGCCATGAAGATGATGAGAGGGCTGGAGCACCTCTCCCTCCTACAAAGAAAGGCTGAAGGAGCTGGGCTTGTTCAGCCTGGAGAAGGTCCGAAGGAGACCTCATTGCGGCATTCCAGAACTTGAAGGGAAATTATAAAAAGGAGGGGGACCAGCTTTTTACACGGTCTGATAGTGATAGGACAAGGCGGAATGGCTTGAAGCTAAAAGAGGAAAGATTCAGGTTAGGTGTTAGGAAGAAATTGTTTACTCAGAGAGTGGTGAGGTGCTGGCAC